ATCATGAACGCTAACAGTGTCGTCCAGGGGCCATTTCCGGCGGGGACTCGTCATCTGATTGGGAGGAATCATCGGCCACAGGCGCCTACACGGGGGGATACACTCGGCGTCAACCAACGAGAAAAGAGGTCCAGATCAATCATGTTGCTATTTTGAGGTCTTTGATTTCATTATTATAAGCTCGCACTAGTAACTGCATACTTTCTAGATCGTCGTCCTGCTGTCAGAGGGTGGTGTCACCCGGGCGGTCACCGTCAAGCGATCTACCACCACCTGTTTCAACATTCACTTCCTGTATCACTGGAGACATATTAGCATGTCTCCGATAATTATCATGGCGCTTGTAAAAGACAAAAAAAAAACGTCGAACTGCCATTTCAGATAAGTGCCCTGTCACAGGCAGTGGTCATCAAGGTATATATTTATGTTGACCGTCGTGATTAAATAAAAGTAAATCATCATTGAATATGGCAGAACGACCGAAACCGAAACAAAGAGAACCAAGAACTCACATTAGTGAAATGCCAAAGGGGCCTGTCCAAAGACAGAGCCCTTTGCTCTACATGAGTGGGAGCATCCCAGTTACTGTACAAATCAATCAGCATCGCGCACTCATTACATATTCAACAAGTGAACGGGCATGTATGATTGATCAGTCATGACAGTTCTCGTCTTAATCGGCAGAGCCAACTTGGACATATGCTTGTCTTTGTTGTGTGATGTCAAATCATCATGGTGTGGTCGGTGGGCAGAAGGAACGAGAGCGGAGAGCCTACATACAGGAATCTCCGACCGAAGTAGTCGAGGGTTTTATCTAATCAAAGCCTAGCAACGCTTCATGTTAGCAAAATTCTTTTAAATTTCAACAATGCGATTTTGCTCAAGATGCGAGTCAGATTTGCATGAATGGTAAAAAAAGGATGGTGTCAGCATCGATAACTCGAATATGACTCGTCATCTAGGTAATCATCATAGTGCTAGTGGGGGAGTTCGTAATCACGGCTTCAACTGTACCTTTTGAGCATTGCTAGAGCAAAGTCTTGACATAGTTGTCTAATGAACTACTGGTTCTTTTCGGAAATTAGCCTCAAATCAAGCCCAAAGATGGATGAAATGTTTGGCTGCAGCTAGTATCTCAGTGGGCGAGGTTTTCTAGGCCTGCCGCAAAAATGGCATCTCCGTCATGACCGGTCGTTTTGTCTAACGCCGTCGGAGCCCAGTGCCGCTTCATCTTCGAACGTGTCTTTGGAAAGATGGGTGTCGAAATCCTTACCATTTAGATAATAAGCCGTCGATATATAGGGGAAAACATGAAGCAACTGTGAGAGCAATCTTTTTTCTGTCAGCATTGGAACACCAAAGAGGTTTTCACGACAAAAAGTGTATTTTAGGCAAGCAGATCAGAAATAGCCATTTTGTATCGCCAACGACCGTAAAGTCTCAGTCGGTAATTTCCAGCGTATATATTGAAAAAGAAGCATCATGCTAGTGTGGTGCAGAAAGAGGACAGATGAGAGAATTGAAAACGTACCATTCATGAATTTCCATTCGCTGCAGGCAAGCTATGCTGGGTTCATTAGTCCTGTAATCCAAGTCAGCAAGCCGTGATCACACAATCGAGGCGAGTCAACAGTGCAACAATGCTTGCGAAGCATATCAGACTGACGTGCAAAACAATCGAGTTTTCATGCCCAAAAAGGTCAAAGACTCTAGTTTGTATGGTTGTAGGTAACATCATGCAAAGGGAAGGGTCGAGTCCAGGGTGGCCGGTACGTACCAAAATCGTCCAATGGCTGAGGATCGAGATCGTCAGTGGAAGCAGATCAGAGTGAGCAATTCTGCAATGGAACTACGACGCAGACAACAAGACATGGATTCTCAATCATTTTTGAGGCCAACATCATCGTGTCGGGACAGGCACGGAGCCCTGGCCGAGTGTGTGTGAAAGGAAAGAAAAGCAGCAGGAAAAGCCCGCGCTTCGCACCTTTTCAAGCTCACTTTTTCGGAGCTAATTTTACCGAGAGCGCTAGTCCTACCCTGGCTAGCGGGAGAGAAGACGCGAAGATGCTTAGGTCAGCTGCCAAGTGACGGTCAGCTGACCCCCGTGGCAGCCCGAGGGGATCGACGGGGGAAAGAGTCCCGAAGCAGACCGGGCGAGAACCGAATAGTTCACGATAGTTTGTGGTGGGCATTCAAAACTTCTCATGTCTGGTGACCGACCAGAAAACCCACCCGCAGAGCTAGTTGTCCGTCTGTCTCTCTTCCTTTCATTCCGATTTTCCAGCATGGGATCTATCATATGCACCTGCGGCTTTTTTTATTTATTTTATCTAGTGGTTCAGGCCGGGTGCGACACGTGTCTCCGTGGTGGGACAGAATCAGAATACTATCTACTCGGGAAGATAGGGAAGATACGTGTAGAACAGTTGAACAGTAGAATAGACTGAATACTGAATAGAAAGAAGATGATTGACGGAAACCGGACCGGAAGAATTGTCAGCCTCGATCGGCGGCAGTCGGGAGAAGAAGGGAAGGAGGGGCTGCTCTTCCTTCCTCCTTCCCGGGCGAGTGCGGGGATTACGTACCGTGACCAACCCCGTGACATTGCGTCAACCCAAACCGGTTGGTCGCTCTGACGTTGGAAGAGCCAGACTCTCGACCTGCTTGCCCTGCTCTCTGTCGTTACTCCGGTACTTCATCTTGCTGGCTGGTCGATCCACTTCCATCCTATTTCTGGCTCGCTGCTAGAACATGATGTAAACTGCCTTGCATTAGGGGGGTCCTGCAAATCCTTAAAGGGCTCATGTCTGGCCCCTCCTGATCTTAGAAATCCTCTGGTCGAGTCCCCTATTTGATTCATTTATTTATCAGACCCTAGTCCACGAGAATCTACCTCCCTTTCTGCTTCCGTCCCTCTTCCTGCTTTCTCCGTTGAACCGAGGTCGGCCGTTGCTTTAAACTCCCCTCCTCTCTCCTCTCTCCGTACTTACCAATTGACTCTGCTGGACCCCAATTCCTTCTCCTTCTATACACCTCCTATACCCACATCTATTCCATCATGTCCAACGGCAACAGCGGTGCTCCCCCCGTGGGACAAGAGAACATTAACACCGACATCGTCACGCTCACCAGATTCCTGACCGAGGAGCAGGCTAAGGTGCCCGAGGCCACCGGTGACTTCACGTAAGTGTCCACGCTGCCCTGTTTCTTCTGGCGGGGAAGTACACCTGGACTAACGGCGGGGAAATCAACAGTCTTCTGTGCCACGCTCTCCAATTCGCTTTCAAGTCCATCGCCTACTACATCCGTCGTGCATCCTTGATCAACCTGACCGGATTGGCCGGGTCCTCGAATACCACCGGTGATGACCAGAAGAAGCTCGATGTCATCGGAAATGACATCTTCATCTCCGCCATGAAGGGCTCCGGCAAGTGCCGCATTCTTGTCTCTGAGGAAGAGGACGAAGCGATCTTGTTCGACGAGCACCCTAATGCCCGATATGCCGTGGTGTGCGACCCCATTGACGGTTCCTCCAACCTGGACGCTGGCGTTTCGGTTGGAACCATCTTCGGTATCTTCAAGCTCCCCGACTCCCTGCTGGGCCCCGGCAAGAAAGTTACCGCCAAGGACGTGCTTTCCCCGGGAACCGAGATGGTGGCCTCTGGTTTCACCATGTACGGTGCCTCCGCCCAGTTGGTGATCACCATGCGCAACGGCAGTGTCAACGGTTTCACCATGGAGAACTCCCTCGGTGAATTCATCCTCACCCACCCCAACATGCAGATACCTACCAAGCGCGCCATCTACTCCGTGAACGAGGGTAACAGCATGTACTGGGAAGATTGGACCAACGAGGTCTTCCACTCTATGAAGTTCCCCGGCGAAGGCGGCAAGCCGTACAGCGCACGATACATTGGTAGCATGGTGGCCGATGCCTACCGAACCCTGTTGTACGGCGGTCTCTTCGCCTACCCCGCCGACTCGAAGAGCCCCAAGGGTAAGCTGCGTATCCTGTACGAGTGTGCTCCCATGGCCATGCTCTTCGAGAACGCCGGCGGTCTGGCTATCAACTCCCGGGCCGAGCGCCTGCTGGAAGTCAAGCCTGAGCACATCCACGACCGCAGCGGCGTGTTCCTCGGCTCTAGGGACGAGGTGCAGCGGGTCATTGACACGCACAACAAGCACAAGAAATAAATGATCAAAATCATGCAAATCATTTGATTTCGGTTGCATAGTTCTCGGTCGGTGTCAGGTAGGGAGTTCTTGTGTCGTTTATTTTCACAGGGATTATTTATTAATGTCGTCGGTACATAAAACACCGCGGGTGCGGAATATCGCCCGGTTTCTACTGGCAAATAGTTCACGATCTTCATGTATCTAAAATTTTATATCAAGTCCATATGAGAAATTGAATATCCAAATTCAAATCAAAATAGATTATTACCATATATCCCGCTCATCTTGTCTGTTTCTATTGCCACTTGTGCTCTTGATGTTAAGGGCCAAGCCGGGATGCAAAATATATTCCGCAAGAGACGCCAAGTTAGGACAGTGTATGCTCACCATCGTGGATGAATTGATGCCGGGAATGGTCAAAATGGACGAATTCTACTCTGTACTACAGTTGAAAAGATCAAGATGGCTATGGAGGAACGAGAGGTCCTCCTGGGTGTTTGTTGCACATGGAGGGGGGAGCAAACCCGAAAGCTTGGCACATCGCCTCAGGCATCCAAAAGTTTATGGTGAGCGGAACGAGGATTCTTCTACCTCCCTCAGGCACTGTGATTTCGTCACTGGCAATCTCGCTCGTCCCAATGTAGTATCGATACTGGTATACCACAAGCTGAGAAGCTCATCGAAGAATTTACTCAACACGAGTAGTAACAGGAAAGGAAAAAAGAAAGAGTAATACAGTTCTCTGAGATGAGTCTGCTGTTAGGTTAAGTGGCACTCTTGATAACTTTTATAAGATCTCTCAATGCCTCCTCAGAGTAGACATTCTATGGGACGTCATGTATGGTGATGTTCATCGGATGCTCTTCCTTGGGAATATGCACGCGCAAAAGATCTTTGAAGGGGGTGCCAAAATAGTATTCGACATCTAAATACCGGCTGTCCTGAGGTGGGTTACTGATAGTTGGTTTGATAGTCGCCAGAGCTTTGAATACATTTCTCATCCTTTGTCCACTCCGGAAAAAGGTAGGTTCTTCCGCATCCACCAGACGGCTACAGCACAGTAGGAGGCCAGCGAGACCGGAGGCTGCAGCGGTGGCTACTGAGCTGCCCGATATATAAGTCGATGAGGAAATTCTAAGATATTCGACGACTGCTTCATCCCCGGGAACTAAGAAGTCGAGCTGGCCCTCGTAGGTCCAGGAAAGTGAGCGCCCGAAGCTGCTGGCACACCCAATTTTGATACAATGATCGGCTTCCCCTGGATTGGGGATTCCCTTAGAGCTAAACGCTTGGTCACTTGCCGAGCAAAGTACCAGGATATTGTGTCTATGAGCACTAACTAGCTATCGCCGCGTTTATAATCTGGATTTCTGTGCTGTCGGGGGAGGTGGCTTCGATCGTCCAGCCGATGCAGATTATGTCGACGTCACAGTAAACAGCCCAAGTTATGGCCTATAATATGTTTATTAGCTGTATTTTTATGTAGACAGGTTACTGGGATCACTGAATTTCGCCGCCGACTCGGCAGTAATCTTCTTTCGCCTATTGGCCGGAGAGGAAGCATGCTCATCAAGTCGGGCTATATGCAGACTGATATTGGGACATAATTCCTGATTATAGTCGCCATCCACGTTCCATGCCCTGAAGTGGACATATGCCAGGGGTGGTTAGCAGAGTCAGATTGCCGGCAGAATGATATGCCTTGAGTGGTATTCCTAAATAGATTCGCGAAGCTGATATCTATTCCGTCATCAATAATTGCGAGATTGACATTTTGGATACTGGGCGCTTTAATGAGAAAGCTTGCAAATTCTTTAGAGCACTCGATCCACCGATGACTGCTGCTACTCTGGAAGTCATGGCCCACGTATTTATTCGCTGTTTTGGTTGGAGAGAGTTCTTTCGAATAGTCATCGTTGAGGTGTTCGCGATCATTGAATAAGGCACTCTCCATGCTCTTTAGGTAAGATTCCATTGTTGCCTCATCGTCTTTCTGAGTAAATGAACGATCGAGAAGGCTTTCCAATGAGAGTGGATTGCTGCTCTGCGCATCTTCTAGCTGGGGCCCCGCTGGTAACTTCATCGAAGTGTTGTCATTACTGTCAGATAAATGCACACTTCCCGTTAACAAAGATGAAGAGCCGCGCAATATCAGCTCCGCCATACCAGATATCTGGCTTCCATTGTCGGACTCATCATCGTCGCCGACGGACCTAGGTAGGGCGAAGCAAGCTATTCTGTGGAGGTGGGCCGCAACATGGATTGGGTCCACGGCCTTCATAGGGCAAAGGGGACAATCACGCATCTGTTCGGTTATAGACTGGTCATTGGCGTCTCTAGTAGCATTGCGGTGCTCTGTTGTCCGGTTTATCACTGTGTCGAAGGAGATGAAATATGTGAAGGTTTCATGGTTGAGCCAGTCAGTGAAGGTGTCATATAGTTGGTCTTCGCTTTTGCAATTGGGATATGTGCAGACGTATGGCCGCAGGTCATGTAGCACGTGTGTTCTTTTTATGTCAGCGTCCTACAGTCCACTGGTAAGATAAAACGCAAAAGAATAACGACTTACCCCGACGACTTCTTGACTAGCATCCTTCGAGGGCAGAGGGTAAAGCAGTACGGGCATTCAAAATCCCCTCTGTCCCATAGTCCCTTGGGTGGTGGAGGGATTGAGTACGAGTCACCATTATCTGTGTCACCAATATGCATCACTGTTGAGCTGGAGACGATTGATATCTCATCATCTAGCTTTACTTTGGAAACGTCTAGGTGGGTGGCCGTTGACGGCTGTGAGGGCGCTATTGGAGCAATGGGTATCTCTAACCCCCCTTGAGGTTGTAGGTCATGTCTAGCTGGAACCGGGACACTATCGCCCTTTTCGAGAAAGACAGACTGCGAGATCAGCTCAGATTTTGTCCTGCGCATCTTCCAATATCCAAATTGCTGTCGTCGACAGGTATTTGCCTTGGCTAGACGGGACACAAGATAATGGTCGGTGAACTTTTCGGACGATGATCCATTGTATAGCCCTAAAAGCTCTGCGATGTGGTTTTGGTCACTCTGTTTGAACTGGGCTACGAGATCAGTTCCGGTCTCAGGATCGATCTGCCGGAATTTTCTAGCCTTAGAGAAACCGAGTCTCGTTGCAGGGTTTCAGATCTTAAAGGATAATCGACACAGTTTATCAATACCGGCAGCTATGTTTTCCAAAATTATTTCGGACAATGACCCATCATCAGAGAAAGCCGAATCATCCGAATCGGAACCAACTTCCCCCTGCGGTCCAGGATCATGGGAATCATTATATTCGTTTGACAGAGGGTCCTCCACTCCAGTTTGTATCATGGTTAGCGGTTTTGATTTCGTTTTCATCAGTCAGGTCCTCGCATTGAGACAACAGCACCCTCAAATCCTGCAACAAGTCTATTGTGTACTCGAAAAGGAATGGAGCGTCCCTGAACCGGTAATCAAGCGAACTGTGGCCGAGATGATACAGGCCTAAATTCGAAGCCCAAAGCTGGAACCGTTGCGCTTCATGGGTCAGTTTCCCATGCTCGGTACTCCCGCCGTTATCTCGTGTCATAGACCTCTCAATCGAAGTGAATAAGAGACGGATCGTGTGAGCAGCAGCTCCCAGGCTCAAATTAGATCCTTCTTGTTGGGTAGTCATATCTCTCCGCGGGGGTATGGGTGTTATTCAAAGAAGAAAGAAGAAAGACCCCTCGCCGTCAGCCGAAATGCGCAGCTTCCTGGAATGGCCAATCGCCTCGACGCCTCAGGCGCCAACACGCAGACCCCCTCGTCTTCGCCTTCCTGCTTGCCCCATCACACTCTTCCATCTGTGTCCGAACTTGTACCTTGCAGTCGTCTACGGATCTCAAGATAATTTTTTTTCGGTGTCCGAATCCATCTATCTTGTCTCTCCACGAATAAGCCAACAGATTCAGAATGTCAGGATTCGAGGTGGCGGGGGTCGTGCTTGGTGCCATTCCATTAATCATGTCAGCTCTAGATGGTTACAAGACGGCTCGGCAGTATCTCCGATTCTTCGTCCGGAAAGAGCTTTTGCTCAACCAGCTTATATGGTCGCTGAAGGAGCAAAAGTTCTTCATAGAGACTGACGTTCGCCTGGCACTTAAGGCGGCAGATCTCTCGGAGGATGAGATCGTGAAGCTGACCAATACGCCGGCCGAGTGTCTCTTGAAGGACCTAGACATCTCGGGCGCAATGAGAGTAACTGGGCGACGGATTCGAACTCTACTTGAATGCCTTATCTCGATGTCAGGAGATATTGAGCTCGATAGTTGCGAACTTCGATGATCTTGCGTCGGAATTGCAAGTAAGACATATGCCGCATGGGAATTGATGCCCTACTCCGGCTTGGTAAATATTGGCTAATAGATCCTTTGTATGGCGTTTAGTGGACCAAAAAAGACCTCCCGACAATTCTTCGTGATAGAGACAGAAGGAATAGAAGCTCCAAATTCACCAAGAAAGTCAAATTCGCTTTCAAAAAGGAGGAGATCCAAAACCAGATACAAGAGCTCAAGAGATCAACTAAGATGTTGAGCCGAGTGAAAGAAAACAGCATGATGCGGCAAAGCATAACGTTAAAGTCCACATCGACAGCAGCCACAAACTTTGAACGTACCTTGAGCAAATTTCAAAAATACGCATCTTGGTTGTATTCCGCCATCTCAAGCAGTTGTGTCAGTGGCTGCCATCCCATGCATATAGCGAAGCTGTTCCTCCAAACTCAGGCCGCAATGATTGGCAAGAAAAGATATCAGCTTTCTAAGGCTTCTTCTCCAAGATTTTTTCAGTTTGTCCCCCACCCATCCACGCTTGATATACCGTTTGATAGACTGGGGGTTAAAGTGTTGGACGACGACATGGACAATTTTGCAGATAGGTGTGACCCCCACGCCCAATCACTTGCGCCTGTAAATCTCTCTGATGGGTGCTGACCTCAGGCTAAGAAAAGCTCCGATGCGAACGATAAAGTTCAAACAACCGTTGTAATTAAGTTACCAAGTCCTTTACGGACCCCGATGTCTACGCCACGCGAAGTCACAGACCTCTGCACGTCCTTGAACAAGTCATACGAAAGTGGAGCACCTTACGACTTGTACCTATCCCGATGTGCCTAGCTCTGCCATCTTAACACTTCGAGTTGCCTCCAAAGTAGCACAAGCCTTGTGCCCAGAGGTTCAAGCGAAATTATCACGCTGAAAGAGCTCTTAGAATCAGGACAAAAGAAAGGGCAAATAGCATCTAAATGGCCACGAACCCACGATTAGGCATAGCGCTTACATTGACATCATCAATCATACAGCTACACTCAACTGAATGGTTTCAACCTGCGCTGACGAGCTCCTCTATCGCCTTCATGCGGAATGATGCCGTTGACGAGACGAATCCAGGTTCAACTGTACTTCAACCATTCCTCACCTATAACTTTCCCTCCCAGGAAAACCACGGACTAAGCAAATGCACGGCGAGAAATTCCACGCTCGAACTCGGAATCGTGCTCCTTGAACACTGGCATTCTCAGACAATAGAGGTATATGCGGCCCAGGCAGGGCTAGACCTACATCATACCTATGCATCTCGCTATGAAGTGGCTAGATACTGGCTAGACTATAGTGATGATGATATCATGCTCTTCTACAAAGACTTGGTTGAACGATCGATCGAGTAAACATTCGCCACCGAATTGGCAACGCATAGTTGGCAGGATTCGGTTTTTCGGAATTCCGTCTGTGAATATATCTTAAAGTCGTTGTGGGAGAATTGTCCGCCGAAATACCGGTGATATTTTCCTTTTTATACATCTTTCGACTGAATCTTGGCAATGTATATAGCACATTAAATGCAGCAAGTGTTATTTACTCCGAGGACATTTATAGAATCCATATTAGCGGATTGTAGATATTAGAGAAGTATTCTACAGTAGACAAAAAGCCAAGGAAGAACAACAATACAAGGTCTAAAAAATCCAATTGATTGTTTCTGATAAGTTACAATACAGAAGGAATCCAAGAAAATGGGTAAAAGGAAAAGATTTAGAAACGAAAGCGAAGCCTCACCATCGAGATCAATCGACGGGATCCTCCTCCAGGAGGGTCTTGAAACTGAACGGAGCGAACGGGATACCGTCACCCATGAAATGCTTACTCATGGCTTCGACCCAGTGCAGACGAAGAGAGTGAAGCATGGCACTGGTGCCTTCCATGACACAGAGAATGGCGATGGTCAAGGTGAACCACATGTAGAAGGTGACGACGATCATGATGACGCGCATGCCGTTGGACTCCTGCTCGAAGGCGCCGCCGAGGGTCATGTTCCACAGGACGATGGACAGCTGCTGATGGGCTAGGGAAAGGGCCCACAGACGCAGGTAGGAGGCCGTGTGGGAGATACAGTTCAGACAGAACTCGATGGTGTGGATGACTTGGTGGATCATAATCTCCGAGAAGTCAAACTCTTCATGTTCCTCGTCTCCGAGATCTTGGGCAATCATGGCAACGCCCTCGCCGTCGCTGGCCATGCTGTCACGGGCTCCAGAGGCACGACCATCTACCTCGCCATCGTCGAGCGCGCTGACTCTCGATGGTTCAGCGAGGCCTCGGTATCCAAGGCCGCGGGCCTTGTTGTGCTCCCAGCGGAGGTAGAACGGCTTGAAGAAAAGCATGATCGGCACTTGAACCAAGGCAATAAGTAACAGGATGACTTGGACGGTTGCCTGGTGCGAGTATAGCTCTTGTCCTTCCTCGATGCTTCCGGGAGAGAGAAACATAAAGATCAGCATGTTCAGGAGACCCGGCGGCGACCGGCCCGCAGCACCCCAATCCACAAACCATTTGTAGACAATGGTGAGGACGAGGTAACCGAAGATGGACTGGAAGAAGAGCATGCTTGGGATGAAATTGCCAATGACATCGACCTTCGACTTGAAATGCCGAGCGTTGTTATATTGCAGGCAAAGGGCGTAGGTCATCTATACAGCTGTTAGTTTCCACGTGTCCCAACTGAAATATCACGATCTACTTACATGCGCCCAACCCAAGATGATACTCATTTTCATTTTCATGCTGTTCGTGAAAAGCAACGAGTTTTCGGCTTCGTGCCAATTCCAGTCAAGACCAATAGGGAACCGGTAGTCTTCCTTCAAGGTAGCCTCATAGCTATGACCCTTCTCGATGTTGTCTGGCCACTGCCACTGACTGGAGAAGATGGTAAACGCCTTCGAGAAGATATCATTGTAGATGATACCGGTGTACATAGAGAAGATACCCATCATCAGCATGATGTAACGGCCATAGAAAGCCATGTACGTCAATTCATCTAATTTGGTCTTCAGAAGCTTTCTCTCCCAGAAGATCATGGCGCTGGCACAGAGAGTCATCAGAGTACCGTGACCGAAATCACCAAACATGACCGCGAACATGAACGGGAAAGTCACAACCGTGTACAATCCAGGGTTGGCCTCGGTGTACTTGGGGATACCGTACGCGTTGACAATGGTCTGGAAGGCTTCCGTGAACTTGTTCGTTCGGACATATGTTGGTGGGGTCTTGTTGGTCCGAATCTGGTTGACGATAGTAGGCACGCTCAGACCAGCTCGATCATTGACGTCCTGTAGGGTTGACTTGATCAACGGCAACGAGCTGGTCGGACACCATGCCTCCGCAATGAGAGTCTTTCTCGCTTGGTCGTAAGAAAACCGATTGAGGGTGTCATAGACAGCCTTCTCTTTCCTCACGATAATCATCCAAGCAGCGAGAGAGCGAGCAATCTGGGAGAGTTCCGCATCCAGAGTGTTCTTCGTGTTGCGCAAAACGTTGCCCACATCGCCCAGTCGTGTGTTCACCTCGTGGACCTGATCCCGCCTCAACTCGCTGTTCTCATCCACACTGTACAGAGAAGCACCGAGGGACTCAGAAATCTTTCTGATCTTGGCAATGATGTTCTTTCCGTGGGCGAAGATCACGAAACAATTCTTGTGGGTTTCTTCGTTGTTGGTCGGGTCGACGATGGGCTCCGGGATCTCCGACTGGTTCATGTACAAGTTACCGCGCAGGGTCCTCCAAAGGATTCGTTCGAAAGCGCCAATCCGGTCCCGAGGGATCACACCTGCAACGAAGCCGATGTTCATCTCAAGAAACGACTGCTGACCTTGCGCATCGCCGTTCGCGCCCCGACTGGGTTGCTGCTCAACGTCACGTAGAAGGGGAGCCTCATCGTTGTCGAAAGACTGGCGAATTTCCTCCGTGTGGGTGTGGGCACGGTCAAAGAAGCCACCGGTCTCTCTCAGAACCCAGCGCCATTCCGTAAGCTCAACCTCACGCTTCTTCAGTGTCTCGTAGCTGTCGTTCAGCGACGAAATTCGCTGTTCAAGGCTCTCGCTGCGTTCAGCAAGCTCATCGATCTCGGAAGCTAGGGGAGCGGCCAGCGTGTCCGAAAACTCAGCCGAAGATCTCATGGGAATAGCCGCCTTGTCCATCTGGGCATGGAAATAACCTGTCGGGAAAGGAGAGAAGTTTAGTCGAAATTCGATTGGATTATTGACGTCTCAGAGCTTCAAAACATACGCAGTTGTCTTTCCACATTATCCAGCCGACGGATCTCTTTAGTAAAGGTGCGCTGGAAGGCATTGGTGTCGGGATTGAGCTAGATACGATGAAACATAAGTTAGCTCCGGGGCATCTGGATAATGCCTGGACCTGTCTGGAGCGAGCTTACATCTCTAAACTGAACCGAACCAAGTTCTCCCAGGGCGCTGACAACCTCTCGTCCGATTTCATTGGCGATATAGAGCTGGGTCAAGCTCATGTCCGACGAGCGGAAGAAGGTGTCCCTTGGAGCCATGGTGAAAGGAAGGCTGCTTCGAGCAGATTCTTTTCACCAGAGGGACGAGAAGGTAATTATAAGAAGCTCGGCAGAATCCGAGTCTAATGGAGTAGTGATATAGGAGCCAGGAGCTGGCGTGAGAGCGGTTTGCTGAAAGAGAGAACCCCCTGGGTGTCGTGATGCGGCTTCGACTGCCCGGAAGCCGCGTGGCTGCTGAGACAGCACGTGACCGGACCTACGCAAGCTTAGTCAGTGTAGATTCCACCTTGCCGCATTTGGCTGCATTCCATCATAGTCAACTCTTGTTGTCAGGATGCCTGTTTACAAGTTCTACGAATTGAGGGCGAGGTAAAAACTCAAAACCAGATAATTACCACTAAGAAAGAACGCTGTATGAATATCAACATTGCCTCCCAAATCATGAATAGTGGCAGACATCCTCGCATTAATTTATCCAAGCCACCCAAATTGCACATTCTCATGGCCCTGCAGGACATCTAGATGTCAAGAACTCACAGGTGCGAAGCATGCACAATGGTTTGTGCCATGAAAGCAAGAGATTCAAGGGTATCTTTTGCCCATACAAAACAGCACAACGCCCATGTTAGCTCTGCTCTAATCGCCCTCTATTATTATCATTAAGCAAAGTAGCTCTTCCAAAGAACACCCGAGAGATCCTCCAGCTGATCCGCCGTAAAGGCCTAGTTGCAAGCAGTTAGTTCATTTGCTCTCAGAGACCTGAAATATGACAACTCACTTTCGCATCGATATGCCAGGTATCCTGCCGGGTCTTCTTAAATTCACTGATAATAGATTTGACACTCGATCCTACAATGCCCGGGTCATTCGCAGCGCGAACACTCAAGGTTGCCAAAGCTTCGGGCATCCACCGTGGCGGAGGGCTATTATATGGGAATGCTTGGATGAGCGCGCCAAGTCCCAGAACCGAACCATGACGGGTGATGATGAGTCGAGTGTGTTCAGGGGTCGGAGTCCCGGGGCCGGAGGAGACCGGCGAGGAGATGCCCGATCTGAAGTTCTTCGGCCTCTTAGGAAGGGGGTTATTGATCAAAATCTTGCTGAACCTATCCTGGAATCGTTTGATCATTTCTTCCCGCAGGAAGCCTGGCGAGCAGCGGATCATTCCGGACAAAGTGGCCGATGCCCCGGCTCTCACTTCGTGTTGCGGGTCTTCCAGCATGTTGGCTACACACTCGAACAATTTGTCACGATCGGCGACGGAGAGCAAGAACAGGCGACGGAAGTAGATAATCTGGATATTGATCATCACTCGCAAACGCTGATGCCACGAGGGCGAAGTCTGGCCAATGTGGATGAGTGATTTGATGAACCCAGAGCTTTCCTCGGCAGGGTATGGGATGTTTGGTAAATGGCGGAAAACGTGGTAGGCGAGAGATTGAAGTTCTGGATCTTCCTTTACGTCCATCATGTGCAGAAGTTGACCGGTGAACACGTTCGGGAAAAAGGGTACAAGTTGCGTGCATTCATGAGACGAAAGAGTCGAGTCAAGCCACAGAAGGACTGTCTTGCTGCCTGAAGTATACGACGATGGTGTATGTTGGCCAGGCGTTCTTTCGTGGCGCCATTTCTCAATCCGGTTGAAGACATCCTTCATCATTGCCGTAAATTCCTCGGAAGGATAATACGGGTACGTGCCCACCGAAGACGATGATTCCTGAGCTGTGAAGAGACGCTGAACGTCTGCATAGGACTCGTGGTATCTTGTGCGATAGATCGTAGCAATAGTCTGGCCCATGGCTTCGCGAACACCCTTGTATGGATGATCAAGGTGGGCAAGGAAGTCCTCCACAATCGGCTTCTCTAGTTGGAAATGCCAGCCTGCATCTATGATAGCCTGATGTAATAGATTGATCTTAGAGCTTTCCTTGAAAGCAGCATTCGTGGTCATATCCAGCCTGAAGCTTGCAAGCCAATCGACGAGCGGCCAAGCCCGTCGAGGATCGCGGCATTGAAGAATCATGTGAAGGAATGTCGTCCAATAGCCAGAATTTTCGGGGGTCAACCCATCGGTGAAGATCTTCTGTACAATCGGGAACGCGTACTCCCACACTAAGGTTCGCTTCTCAACGCTGGAATCCGCAACAGAGCTTATAAGGGCTCCTAGGATCTCAGCAGTAGCCCTGTGTTGATGCTTGTCACTGCCGTCTTCAAATACGGCCGCTACTTCTTCCTGAATATCTTGGAAGGTGGCAGCTGTGAGTCCATCTCGAAGCATCAATTCAAAAGCGTAGAGCAGCATCATTGCACAAGGCATCCGGAACTTGTCAGCAGACGGGTCGCGGGGCTCCTGTTTCAAGTACATGAAGAACTTGGTGAACCATGCTCGGTTGAACAGTTGCCCCATGTGAGTTCGGATTTTCCACTCAGTCTCATCGTATTCAATATCGCGCGCGACATTCGACTTGTACGCAGGCATCCTGTCTCCCCACACAAGCCAGCCAGGGAAATCATGATCGACATAATACTCTGCCTCTGGATTGGCAAAGCTAGCCAAGTATTCCTGGGTCCAGCCCTCTTCGTAGCGCTTGGTAGCTACGTTTATCTTCGAGGGGAAATGTTGGTTGCCCAGAATGTAATTTTTGTAATCATGGCTGCAGATTGCGCGCACATCCACCATAGTGAAAAGAGCAATGAGCGCTTGCGAATACATTCCACGCAAGCCCGGATGGTCGTCGATGGATCCATGGGTCACGAGGTCGATGAGGTTCTCGCTGGCAATGTAATCGAACCTGAGACCCATTGTGACCACTATAGTGGCTGCTCGGCTGGCAACCTTCCAATGAGACACCCTTGCCAGATTCACGAGCTCTTCAGCCAGATCAGCCTTCTTTTTCTCAATGAGGGCCCGTTTATTGTTAATGGCCTTGCGCTTTTGTGTGATTTGATCTTGAACATCCTCCTTTGGAGCGATTGCTTCAACGCGGTCTTGGTCTAGGATGGCCATTCTTTCCATAGAGCGGCCGTAATCCATGATTTGGAATACAGCACTGGAACAAATCTTCTGCACGGAGGGCTTGTCGACCGCACTTGCATCGATGAAGGTCCTGATCAAAGTGGGAGCATATTTCCAGTGACGCCCAACAGTTCTTGCGACGCTGCTTAACAGCAAAGAGAACAATGCACCTTTAATTCTCGCGTAGTCATTCTCCTTGATGCCCTTCTGTAGAGCTTGGAGCAGCGGTGGGATGACAAGAAGTCGAGAACCCCAGACAGCTTTGAGAGCCGACTCTCCGGCACTTTGAGCGTTGCGACGGGTTTCTGTGTAGAGAGACACACATGATTCGGCAATATCCAACAGCAAGATCTCGTCCAGCCGAGAACGACGTCGCGGTGCTGCATTGTGTCTAAGTCGTTGCAAGTGATACACATTCGCTCTTCGAACCAGCAACGGACGAGGATAATCCTTACGGACGCCGCTCATCTTGTAAGGATGGATGTCCGCGGCAAGAAGACGTGTAACTCTGTCCAGGACATGAGCGGACCTCTCAATGCCGACGTCGACAAACCATGACCGGTATGCAGAGTATAAGGCACTGAAGCAAGGCACATCGTCCTCCTGCTTGTCGGACAAAAACCTATGCACTCCGTGAAGAATCCAGCCAGCCCTCTCTCGTATGCCGTGGATTGTGGTGTACATGGCGTCATTTTCCTTAAGTGGATAGCCAGTAGGATATGCGAATGACTCTCGGACAGTAGATTCGTCAGAGCTGTCAAGAGCCGAATCTTCACTCTCGGCATCCGTCTCATTAGAGACTGCCTGGGCGTCTGCCATGTCGATATCGTTGGATGAACCATTCACTCCGCCTTCCTTGGTCTTCGAGGCTGCTTTGGGATCAAAGAGTACGGAGATACCGGAGAGGATAAGCCGCAGTAAAACTAGATTCCTGATAACTTCATCCGACCAGTCCTTCCCGCTGCCGTCCCGTTTCACACTGGACGTATCATCAATCAATGCGGTCAGCCGCGAAAGGGCAGTCTCCGCTTGGTTTTGGAAGAGGTCAACGGCAAATTCGAGTTCTTCGCGCGTGGGAATGTGCCATTTTACGGTCAAACTATGCGGATCGGCTCTATAGCTCCAAAGCCCGGGGTGCACGCCATTAGCAACTGCATCGGGCTCATAGAGCGAGTAATCGGCAGTATAGGTTCCCGTCAGGTTTAGGAGTAGATGGTGAACGAAGTTTGAAATGTGTACGGTCGGAATACCCCGACATTTTTGTTGCATATACACGGCAATGTCGAAAAGCTCTTTCCTGTGGGCCAACACAGAGTCCCCGACGTGGACGACACACATGCTCAGCATGCTGATATTCCATACCAAGCCGCGATCGCGGGGAAGCACATCTGTGCCTGTCGTTCGAGTCGAGCCCGCACCATTGTCATCGATCTCGGTGCGGATTGCCTGTGTTAACACCGGGATGAAGCGTTTCAATGCCTTCTCGGGATTGACCTTGCACATCGAGTTACAGATGAAGGCCATCGCATCGCGAGCTTGGTGAATCACATGATTGGATACGAAGTCAACGACCTTCGTTAGCGCAATGTCATAGTACTCAAGGGAGAGAGACGACAAGAGTGGCATGAAGGTTGCAGGAAGCGTGTTCACAATATTTTCCTCAGGGGATCCATTTCGGACCCTGGTTGCATCGGGAAGGTTCTCCAGGAGCGTAAAGACACGGCCCAAGAATGAGACAATGAAGTCAGCAAAGCCACAGGTTGACGAACGAAGAATCAGTTCTTCGGTCTCATCATCTAGGTCCTTATCATAATTCAATTTAACCTCGACGCCTTCTTCTTCCATGCGTTCCATCTCGCCCGTAATCCATTGCACAGCGAGCATGTTGGAGTTGATATCTTCCCTGCCACTTGTCAAGTCGGCCATGGGGATGTTATAGCATGCCGATTGTATGAATGATAGAGCGTGTAAGGATTTCTCCAGATCGTTGGCATCGACACCTGGCAGCGCGAGTCCCAGTAAAGTCGTCATGTGGCAACGATATCCTTTGGTCCTGGAAATGATACGTGACAGGACTTGAAGAGCACGGAGAGACGATGTTGTACGGTGGACCTCGACGAGACCCTGAAGAGATGGGTAGATTCTCTGCAGAGCACCTGGTAGAATGAGGTGTGGCTCCAGGTATGCCAAGCTCTGCAGCGTGGACAGAGAAAAGCTCATGGCCGTGCCACTCTTAGCGTAAATTCCCATGAAAATCACCTCACGCAGACACAGAACAAAACGACGTTTAAGCGGCTCCGTGAGTCTTCGCTCTGGGGGAACCTCCATCTCCCCACTTTGCTCGCGATTCCAGCGCATTATGAAGAAGTCAGAAAGGTAGTAAACCAGCTGAGACAGAGTCTTGGTCCAACTTCCAGAGTTCGAAGGATGGAAAAACGTCTCCACGGCCTGGATTAAACCTTCAAGTTGGGTGAGGATCGACTCTTCAGTGTCAAGACACGCCGGCGAAAGGGACATGACAATCCAGCGAGCGATATGATGTGCCACAGGATGCTTTCGAGTGTCTCGATCAAGCATGATACCAAGCCCCGAAGAAATATCCACAAGAGCACTGTAGGGGGATGTTGACTGTCCGACAGGAATCTCCAATAGCCGCAGAATGGCCGTGAAGATGAGGGACGACTGTTCCTTGGTATAGATTCCATACGCAGAAAATGATATATGAGCAGCGGGAAGCGAATCTCGCGCCAATCGCGAGAGGAAGTCCATGAAAGTTATGTCAAAGGTTTTGGAACGGCTGACCAACGACCAAAGGTGGAAATAAGTTGGCATGAAGTGTTGAGGCAGTAGGTCTTCTCGGAACTCCGGCGGAGGAGACGTAGGGAGTAGCAGGTTGATCAGACCGACGACCACAAATGCACCTTCTGAGAATGACGTTGTATAATGGGGAAGGAATTCCTCCAACATTGCCGGCAACTCGCAAGGGTCGATATAGAGTTGAACGAACGCACAGAGCTTCGTTAAGGTCTTGACGTTCCGTTTCAAATTGGTCGAGTGCACGAGACCCGATTCCGTGGGTAGAACGAAGGCCTTCAATTCTCTGTACAAGGGTTTCCAATCTAGAACCAGGTCCTTGACCGGTCTAAGGTAGTGCTTGCGCCTGCGGTTTTGTAAGTATCCCAGCGCGATGGTAGAGGAACATCCCAGATCCACTCACTTGGTGAGAAGCATAAACATGCTGGCAAACCGCTCCGAAACACCGGGGTCAATTCCTGGAGCAAGGCAAAGCTCGTAATAAAGTCTCACAAGATTGATCCGTTCCTTGCGCGTTGGATCAAACTTGAGTGACAGCCATCCTCGAAGCTCCCGAGTCCAGTGCACAGCACCTGGGCTGAAGTCACCTGCCTCCACCGCGATATACAGCTGGCTCAATATCTCTCGTAGAGTTCGGTCTCTCTCGGTATCGTTCTCGAGCGAATACGGTAGGTATTTGAAGTAGGGGTATGTCCGAGGCCGGACACGAGCTATTGGTTCACCATCGCCGTTGGTCCCTGCGGGCTCGCCCCCTGGGGAGGTTGCCCTTGAGATCTCATGCACATTGTGAAAGTTTTCGGGCGTTAGGATCGCTTTTGGGCCTGAATGATCCATAGTCGTGCAGTCCGTCCGACGATTACTGCGGTGGAGAATGTGGGAATGTGGGAGAGTCCTGGAACAGACTGGTATCAGCTTCAGCGTCAAACCCACGCAGTAATGAAGAAGGGACCAGGGACAGAGAGTAAATACGCTGGACATGAAGCTCGTAGCTAAGACTTAGTTATGGATGTCGATGCGAAAGAGTAGCCTGCTATCAGTCCCGTTCGCATGAGCGACTTAGTCGGGTTGAGCTAACAAGCGACCGAAAGCAACGATCGGAGCTGTGGCTGAGCGAGGAAGGATAGCTGAGAAAGGAGGGCTGGCAAAATAGAGCCTTCCAGAGATAATTTTTTGTTAAGGGAATAAGAGCTGCCAGAATTCTGACTTGGAGCTCTGAGGTTGAAGACAAACGGGGAGGAGCTCATGCGTAGCAGTCCGACGGGTGAAGGTATCATTGGGTTTTGTCAGATCACTGATGACATAATTCCACACGCAATGACGCCGCAGCCTAACCGCTATGCCGCGTTTGCAGGAGTTGCCTTCGCCATTATTGCTCAACCGTTCACTATTTTAACGGGTCTTTGACGATCGAGGAAATAACAAAGATAATATAGAAAGAAAAATTCTTTTTGGAATCTCACACATAACAATCCAAAATCAATGAAATACCATATAAAAAAGAATTCTGTACCTCCCAATCTGTTTGGCCTCTAATCATCGGGTAATGAGAAAGTACAATGACAACCCACAGGGTGAAAACAAAAATGCAACGGTATGTTTACATCCTAGGCTGGTGGGAGGAAAGAGCCGAAGAGAACCGCTTGTATCAGCCCATAAATGACTGCTCCTAGCACAGTGAGCGTAAAAATTCGACTATGCTTCACCCCGGAATCGCCAAGAACTAGATGTGCAAGGTACCAATACCACACAGGGTACCCAGAAGAAACCCTATTGATGATTTGCACATGATAGTTAGTAACCGCTAACCCCGAAAGCAGGGCTTGCGGGACGGTGAATCGCATCAGTAGAGAAGCCTGCGTCATGGATGATGTCCCTCGGTCAATGTCGGAGGCTTCGTAAGGGCTGGATGCCAGGAATGCCTTCAATCCCCACGTAGATGATCGAAAGAGAATGGCAAGCATGGGGAGAGCAAGTAAAAATAAGGGGATATTTGAAACCGTCCAGTAGCGAAGGAAGCCCACGTTCCTAATTCTCAGGTAAGCAATTGCCGACTCGCAAATGGGACCTACTAGGGTACAAACCAGTAGTTTTCTTGGACCCAGCCATATATGCTAGGAATCAACCGCTGACACCAAGGCCTTGAGACATCTTCCGGCATACAATATTGCGCATAGGCGAAGAATTGAGGAACGACAAAGCCCAGGGCTAAGATGCAGCCGCTGATGACGACGACGCCTAGATGAACAAAAGCGTCGACTGATACACCTCGAGACAAAAGTCTTTGAAGCTGAATAACAGCATCGTAGGCAAACAAGAAACCACTGAGAATGCCGTTGCTGCGAATTACTGTGGCAGCCGAGAAGAGTAAGGCTGCCAATAGCAGCTTTGCGTTTCTGGGCCCCGACCTATCGACCTTGTTATCCAAGACGGACGAAGAGTAGATATAAAGCCCGGTGATATTGAGGAACGAAAAGACCGGCTCTCCATACGGGGCCGAGAGGAAAGCCCCCGCAGGGGCAATTATGTGCAACGCAGCAGAAAGAAAGCAAATGAGTCGTTGCGTGGTCGTCTCTTGGCCAAAGACATTAATCGAGAGTCTATACAGGGCTAGCACCGAAAGATAATGGGCAAGATGTGAAAGCGCAATCCCCGCGATTGCAATTCTGGCGGATCCACTCAAGGCACTGTCCCAAGGATTCAAGACTACCAAGATAACATCCATCAGTATCTACATGTATGATAGCACTCAGGTTACTCGGGGAACAGATAAACACACCGGAACTGAGGAAAGCGATAGTTTTGCCCAAGCCATAACTAAATGCCCACTCTTGTTCGAACACATAACCACTTTCTGCAATATGCACAAAATAGATCGAATCCCACCTGACAAACTTCAGGGGTGCTGACAGACTCAACGGACCGACTCCCTGCTGGGAAAGAAGGCTCGTGGACGTATCGTAGCCTGGCCCGGGGCACCCAGCAACGACCAAGAAAACGATTGTCTTCCAGAGCCAAAAGGCCACCGACAAGCTTCTGACGGGATGACTAGGATTCAGTAGGCCCGGGCGAGCCGAAACCGATTTCGAAGCCATGGTGTCTAGATCGTCCATGCGACACATCTCCAGGGAGCGATTCACCCAAAGTATGATTGTTACCTATGGTTATCACTTATCAGGCAATGAGGCCACCTTAATCCATGCTGGTGATTCGTCGACCAAGCCCCATATAAAGTGGTTCCAAAACCGGAATGGGATGACAGAAAAAGGGACACGGAAAAGAAAATAATCACGATAATAATAAGGTCATGCGATGGATGGGCCGAGGCAATTGAGACCCGAAGAACGAAAGGAGGTCGCGGCTGGCGAGTCGGAGGTTTCGGCAGCATAAGTTCCTCTTATTCAGCATTTGGGCATGCATAGTGCATAGGCTAGTGCGATTTCCCCATGCGCCAATCCTTAGCGTTCCATGGGAATGTTGCGATGAAGAAAATTTGCAGGGAGTCATCTTACGGAGTAGTGTCTTTACGCCGTTACGGTCTATACAGGATGGGATTTGTACACATTATTACACACGATAGTTAGCACAATCCAACCGTCACGATGGTCACATGCAGGAGCTCCACATGAGGCCTTTTCCAGACCGTTCATCTCTGAAGTCTGGAGTCTGACCCTGGGCCGCAGGTATGAACGCATAACTGCATAAACCCCGAACTGCATAATTAGTCATCCCGCCAGTCACCCTTGGATCAGCGCGGGCTGATCCAGCCCTACGGGAGGTTGACTCTTTCCAGGGATGGCCCCGTGGTGGAATCATCCCCGAGGAGTAATTTAGAACATGCCTGGGGTTATGAGAGATGGAAGCCATCCAAAATATATTACATAGTCCCTAGACACACAAAAAAAAACACTGCTGTGTGCCTTGTTAGGTTGTTACTTGTTACACAGTAGGCTCCGACATGATGACGTAGCCAACATCCGCCATGAGGATGACTATGAGCGTCATAGGAACCAAACCACCGTAAATAACTGGATACTAAATCCTAAATAGTAATCTTCAATTCTTAAACCTCCGATTCTGTCGCCCGTACCCACTTGAGTCCCAAACATGATGAAAACGGAAAACCGCCATTCTTGAAGTGGACAAGGCCAGAACAGAATTAAAAATGAAAGGACAAGAGTGAAGAGCCAAGAGAAAAGCCGTGGTGGTCACGAGTGGGCATTCAATTTTAACCCCTCAGGGTCCAGCCTTGTTATGGCCCATGTCGGTGTCATCATGTCATGACAAGTAGCTGCTATCCTGTGCCCTGTTCTTACGGATTAGAGTAACTAGCAGGGCTAATAAAACAAAGCCAGGAAAGCAGAAAGGAAAATATCGGCTGGCTCAAGCTACCAAGTTCGCTGATCACGCTGCATTCATTTCTTTCCCTTGAGGCTTCCTCCTCCGGTGGCTATCCTGTATCCAACGGATTATTCCTGAATATTAATCTTTCTTCCAGCGCAGACACCGGGTCCACGAGAAGGAAGGGCGAAAATCTTGCTGTCAGGCAAATTTTCAGCTGAACTCCGCCGGACCCCACTCCATCCATGGACTTTTTTTCAGGTTCTTTACGGAATGCCCGTAAGGCTGGGATACGAGAGCGATACTGAATAATACATCCATGGCCAAGGCCCGATTAGTCAAACAAGTCTAAGAGAGCTTCACCTCGCGGGTGGCAACGAAGCCCTTGCTACGACACAGGGATGGCGATTGGAGACCAAGGGAGACAAGACAGGAACGACAACTCGAAGAACCTTATGACCTCGATCGGCATCATGGCACCAACCACGGCCTTTTAAGGCAGTTCTCAATTTCTGGCTGCCTGGAGTACCGACCTTCATATTTCATAGAATACTGCAATACTGGACACCGGCAAGGTACGGGGGGCAGCCAAGAGTGGCGCCCGTGGAACACTGGATCTGCCCGGCCTTTACCGGCGACTCGGAGGTGACCACCTCCGACCGTACGGACTCGTATTCCGTGCTGTTGGCAGATGGAGATACGGAGAGACAATAAATAAGACATCCCTCAGGATTCTCGACAAAGCGGCTCGGATGGATTTCGGAGGGCGGACGGACTGCGAGGCCAACCTCCGAAGCAGACGGAGATAGGCTTTTTTTCGTATGGAGTTTCAGGTCAATGAGTCAGTTGTCAGGTGTCAGTTGTCAACTATACAGAGTAGACAACGGCGTCGACTACAGGAAAAAATACCGAGGCCGCGCGGGGCGGAAAGGACAACGATCCGAACCGATCAGTTTTACTTACCAGTTACCACCTGGATGGACGGTCGGTCGCGTTGATATCCTGAGCTCCGAGGATCGCCCGCTAGACTACTTGGATGCATCCATGGATCGCCTTTCGTAGTTTTGGAATCATCGCGAACTGATTACTCACACTTACTTCTAGTTAGTTACAGATCCATAATCTGATTATTGTTACTGACCTGCCTGGTGCATGCTCATACCCATACTGCTATCCCTACGGAGGACAGACAAATCATAATTCTAATTCTTGGTAGGGAAGTGGATTCTCTTTTTTCTTCTTTTTCTTTTTATCCTGATTTTCTTTTTTTTACCCCTCTAACTTAAACCTTTTCTTTTCCTCTCATTTCTAAATCTCTAATATAATCTCGTTTGGTTTCGCTCTCGTATTCTCCAAACCTTTTGACTCGAATTACTTGACCGCCATTACCATCTGACAGACCACCCAACTCAACTCCATTATTCATAAGGCTGCAATTTACCCCCATTTCGTGCTGTTTTATTTTATTTCATTCTTTTTTTCTTATTTTCCTTCCGTCTCCTTCCTGGTTCTGCTCGGATCACTCGCCGAGTGCCTTCTCGCTCTCCCTTACGTCTTCTCCCGCCTTTCGTTGCATATTACGGAGTACATTCTATCATTGCCGTTGTGTAGCCTTGGCCCTTTTGCCCCCCTACCAATTGACGCCCGCCTAGACTACTTACTCTGCTCATCTTTCCTATACCTCTGCTTGTCCACCATTTTCTTTCCCTCTTTTTCTTTTATTTTCCTTTTATATATATCCCTCATCTACTTTGGTCCTCGGTCGTGCAGGTCACGCCAAGCTTCCAAGCTTCTGTCCCCCTTGATATTCTCCCAAGCTCGAACCCTCCCCTTTTCCTTGCTGTTTGGCTCTGCCTCCTTCTATATCCTCCTCCCTCAACGCCGTCGACGGCCAGGTATTTCTTTTGGTATAGATTGCGCAAACAAGTGATCTGCGAGCCAACGCCACGTTACGAGTGATCCGAACCATCCGATTGACTTCAGCAGTGTTGTTCCATTCGCTGTCGATGTTGGTCTTGTTAGGCCCTTGGAGCCTCCCGCTTCCTGTCAAATAATGCTGTTTAACCTGGGATTGACGGCGGACGCGGCAGCAGCCCACGAAAACGACGTTGTTGCTCACCAATCTGAATCTCGACCTGTGCGCCATTCCTCGCCTTCGAATATTGCCTTTGCATTACCTTCCTTGAAACTCACCAACAACCGGAACGGCTGGCACAAGGCCGCGCAAGCCGAGCTATCACGCAAAGGCTCGCGCGGTGTCATGTCCCGAGATGCGGAAGAACCGGGATCAAGCGACGGAGAGCATTCGACTGTCGGACCCGCCCCGGTTCGACCGCAGATCGCCCGTGCACAGTCAGTTAGGAAACAATCGTCGCGACCTAAAACCTCTTACCAGCTGGCTCATCCGGCCAGCCATGCGCGTCACAGGCGGTTGAACTTTCGACCCAAGCTGGTGTTGCAGCTCCAGCGATTGTCACAGACTCCGCGCCCTTTGCCGGTCCTCGACGTGTTGCCATCAACCGTATACCTGCCCCGACTGGCGCGCAAATTCCCTACGATCTTCCGAGGCAAGAAAGGGCTGGGCCCGAATGACCTCATCGTTGTCATGAGCGACTTGTACGAACGAACGGGCGGAGACATTGCGGACAAGTATCTGAGCTCGGACGACGAGAACGGGGAGCATCGGGAGGTGGTCGCAACGATATGCCAGCTCCTCCGCGAAGATGCGCTGGCGAAGGGTAAAGCGGAGATCTGCCTCAACTATGGACCGGTGTGGGAAGCGACCCCTCTTCCAAACGGATCATATGAATTTGTCGCCGAAACGGATCGCGGCGTGCAGATCCTGCGATGGGTGCTTCGCGGAGGGAAAAACCGGCGCGTTTCGGCTCCCCCGGGCTCGTCGCTCCAGGAGGAATCACGGCGCTTCACATTCAGTGTCATCGATCCCACCACCCGTCGGCACCCGGTCATCGCGACCATGACCCGGAACCACCTCGAAGTCTTCGACGAGTATTCGATGCCCACCTCGGGCTTCGCGTCGCCAACGTCTGGCATGTCGGTCATTAGCGATTCTTCCGAGTTGGACACTCCTTTAGATCGGTCGTTGGATCGAAGGGTGATTGTAACCGACGATAACTTGCGCACATTGATCATCATCACCAGTATTTGGGTGGCATTCAGGGAGGGTTGGTCGCATAACTTCAACTACAAAGATACTGCCCTGGCTCTCAGCCCTAAAAGCCTGTGCCCATCCCGCCAAACTTCTCCGACAACCACCAAGGCCGAGAACAACCCAAGTTCCTCTAACAAAGAGGTCTTCCCGGACGGCCCGTATAGTAGCCCCAAGCATCGTATGTCCGGCTCGCACGCCCTACCTTCCCGAAGCACGACCCCCTCCGATCGAACCTTTGCGTACGGCAGCTTATCCAAGCGCTCCAACTCCACCGGTGCTGCCTTCATTGAACGCTCCAACAGACGCGCCTCCAGCGCCACTCTTCGGCCCAGCCGGCATAGTCTGCTCTCGAATCATCGCGAATCACCACCCAATGGAGTTACCCCAACCAATCCCCTCCGGGAAGCTCCGGAGAATCGCACGATCCCGTCTCATTCCAAGGGACCGGGCGTCCAAAATGAGAGGGACTTCTCAGCCTCTAGCAGAAACACCGACCTACAAAATGGCACGCGGCAACTCGACGCCTCTCATGAAAAGGCGGCCAAACCGCTAAATCGAAGCGCAGAGCCGGCGCCCACAAAAGGGAAACGCCGGCATCGGTTTAGCAGTATATTTGACTTTCTCACAAGAAAGAGCGGCGCTCACTAACGAAGAAGCCTGGAGCTTCTCCCATTGAAATTTCCCGAAATCTCCGCTGATGTACATATCTACCCTTGTTGGATTCGTGACTCCCTCTTGCAGAGGTGAGGAGTTCCTGTGGACACCCCACAAGGCTTTTGAAATTCACTTTTTTTCTTTGAACAATTTCCCTGAGATTGGAATGCCGAACACTGGTGTATGTGGCATATGAATCCGAACAAAATCGATGCACAGCGTGGCTGTCAGCTCTCGTTATATACATCATCTATCTCTCCCATCTATCTCTCCCCTTCTTTTTTAGCGACACGATTACCCAAGACTTAAGAATGGCGTTCCTTTTCCTTATTCCGGTGATCACATTTGATGCACCACCATGTATACAATGGAAGCCATCGTGCGACAACAGCAGCAGCAAATATAACCAAATCCAACCAAAGTTCCGTATACTTATCAAAACTGAAAGTACATACACTACTACCCCGTAGTCTGTCTAAGTCTACCGCTCTAGCGCATTCATCAACTTCGAAATATACAGCTCCTCCAGATACCTTATCTGGCCATCCGTCAACTTCACCTGGAACCTGATCGCGACCTCATCAATCCGCTTCTTGCTGCTCAAGCCTAGGATTGGATTCTCGTTAAGATGACTCACCGACCAAGCAAAGACCACCTGAGCCATATCTTCTCGAAGCGGTTGACGATCACCTGGTCGGCCTCGGTCTCGCGGCTTCGGACCACGAGCTTCTTCAGCGCCTCGTCCGTCGATTCCCGCACGACCGGCCGACCGGGAGTTCCATGGCCGAGCCAACACACCGCGCGCCATCGGCGACCAGGGGTTCAGGATCAGACTCCACTCCGGCGCCTTGACGGGGATCATCGCGCGTTCCTGGTTGCGCGTGAACAGGGTTAGGTTGTGGTAACTAACTAGTTTTGCATGTCACTCGTTGCGGGCGGGGATACTTATTATTGGAGCTCCCAGGCGGTCATCTATGTTTCAGTCAGCCTTGCTTGTCCTTTTCTTTCTCCTTTCTTTTGTTTTTCCCGTTCTTGTGACTCGAGGAGTAAAATGTAAAACATCAAACTACCTTAGCAAGTAGTGCGTGGTGTGTGTATATACCGCCTTCGCCCACACCCCAAACCTGTCCACTCTCTACCACATTCCTCAACCAATTGAACCATAGAAATAGACGTATTATCAGATATAATATCGGGTCCCCCAGGACTAAGCGGATCATCCACCGAATGTGAGAACAGGCAACAGATGGTCTGTCACTTCCTACGCGTCAAAAGAAAAAAAAAAAAAAGAGAGAAAAAAAACCTTGCCATATAAACTTAGGTAAAGCTTACCCGGCTGGTCAGGTGGCGGCAACATCTAATTATATCTTTAACAAGTACTAGTTTTACTCTCTCTCTACCTAGCTATCCGGCAAGATAGAGTTGCTAGTATATCAGTACCGGGTAGATGGGGTTTTGCTCTGATGCCTTATAATGGCATTAGACTCTTGATAGAGTAAGCATTGGACAGCTTGTCCGAGTGGTTAATGGCGCGCGCCTGCTATTCATGAGATCCTTCTCTATTCATAATTCGTGTAGCCGAATCCTGCAGCTGGATATTTTTTCCCTTCGTTTCCCATACGCAGAATCTAATAATCAATCATCACTCAACTCAGTCTTGGTTGGAGGTTCTTTTCAACTTAAAAATATGTTGTATCTTGTAAAAAAGCCATGATTTTTGTCTTAATCGCCGCATTAAAACTGGCAGCTATCTTCAGGGAAAGAAATCAGGACAAAGATGGCCCCAAGACCAAATTGACAATGATGTCATCTTACAAATAATGCCTTTTCCTCCAGGCAACTGAGGGGTGTGGTGAGGGCAGGGCGAAAGAACGCCACACGATTGTATGGCATTCACTACCTTTCTACATATGAGACGGGCCAGCGGATTGAAGTCGCGTTCATTCATGTGACAAGTTTACTTTTGTGGTGGATATAGACTCCTGGATTGATGGAATCAAACAACTCTACGAAGTTTAGAGGGCGTAGAAGAGATGTGGCTCTGGATGCCCGAGGCAGAAAAGCAAGCCTGACGGATCAGGCAGCACCGACGCAAAACCGCTTCGGCCGGGACCATACCCAAAGGGGAAGGAACTGGATCCGCTCAAGGTCCCTCGGGTTCCCGATTAGGCAGCCGGGACGCGGAGTGAAGAGGATCTGTTGGCCATCGCAAGCAGAGTGAAACGGGACTAGAAGGGGGCACATAATAAGGCTGGCTCCTCGCCTTCCACTTTTCTTTCGTCATTTTTCATTTCCCTTTTTTCTTCTTCGTCTCCTCTCCCTGACGACCCCTTCCAATTTACTCGAGGGGGATCTGTTCGTTATCCATCGATGATTCACACGTTCTCCATTCGAGATATTCGCTGTATTCATGCAAAACGTGAAAAGAAAAGCGAATAAAAATTTATATACTAACATCAGTGATGAATCGACCAGATACCTTGATCTGTCGCTGACAGGGGGAAAAAATTTCAACCGACGTGACACCTTCGCGAATTCGCTGAGAAATGAAAAAAAAAAAATAAACAGATGACCCAACCGTCCTTCCAACCACAGAAGAAGAATAAATGAGATTACCGAACGCAGTCGATGCCGACCGTGAAAGTTTACTCTGTCTTGAACGAGACCAGTCGCGCCTTGATGGCTTCCTCCGTGTCGTTGGTCTCCAGCTGACGAAGGACACCTGAGGCAACGTCGAAGATCAGTCCGTGAACCTGCAGACCACGCTCGTGAATCGCGTCCAGAACAACGCTCTTTTGCTTCAACAGGTTCACACCCTCCTCAACATTCAGTTCCACCAACTTGAGCATGGCCTGGTCAGGGGACAGCGACTGCAGAGCGGACAAGTTCTGTTGACGAAGCTGACGCAGGGGAAGGAGCCAAGGGTCAAGGATGCCCAGCTGCTTGTTACCCATGGCAGCAGCGACACCTCCACATCCGGTGTGACCGCAGAGGACGACGTGCTTGACTCGCAGATGACGGACCGCATACTCGATCACCGCCGACGACGACAGGTCGCCAGCGTGCAGGACGTTGGCAATGTTCCGGTGGACGAAGACATCACCAGGCTTCAGGCCGAGCAGGGTCGTCTCGGGGCATCGGGAATCGGAGCAACCAATCCAGAGAATTTCAGGATGCTGGCCGACTGCGAGCGTGGGGAAGAGGTCGGGGAATTCCTGAGCAGTCTTGGCTGCCCATTGCTTGTTGTGGTCCAAAGCCGAGATGAAACGATCTGAGGGAGCATTAGCACCATTATGCGACCGGGCAAAATTGTCGGACGATGACGGCGCAGAGGTGGCACAGGATCGGGATGTGCCGGCCACACCCTGTGCGATAGGCAAAGAGGGGAAAGGGTTGATCCCTCGGCGGCCTTGCAACTCCCATGCTGGCGTGAAGGACCGGGAAAGTGACTGAGGCCGCGGGAAAAGCCTTGCAACAATCATTTTCGGGCGGGGTGGGTGCGAAGGGAAGAGGGAGTTTTTATGACTCAAACCTTGCCGAGGGTGATGAGAGGGAAGAAAGCCAAAGGGGGAAGAGGAAAAACAGGAGGGCACTGGATCGGATCCGTTGGCAGTTTGAGGCAAGTGACAATACTCAATATGCGCACGAAAAGTCCCGTCCAGGAGTTGAGGATGACCAGGATGAAAGGAATCGGAGAACAAAAAAGTGCTGGGGATGGGGGAAGGGAAAGACTGTTGAGGCCGCAGGAAAAACCCGCCACCCGTTACAGCCCGCCAAGCAGAAGAAAAAAATCCGACAGCATCGCCAACGTACCTGTGGTAGCCATGATGAGGATGGAGAATGTCTGGATATGGTCCAAGTATTTTATTCTTTACAACTCTGGTGTCTTGGGGTGGAAGAAGTGAAGTCCAAGAGGGAACGAAGGCGCGGTGCTGTGGTGAGGTTTTCCCTTATATAAGCACAGGGCGCCCGGTGAGAGTCGGCAACGCGGCAAGTGGCCAGATGTTTCCCCCCCTAAACTAATCTATTCCGACTTGCTCGATTTACTGTTATCGACCCTGCGCTGTTCGCTTACCCGGTTGCATGATCGTGGATGCCGTTTTGATATCGACTTGGGCCGTATTTTCCGAGGTAAATTATCGACTTATCGACCCGCCACGCTGCTTGTCCAGTCATGACGAACCTTGATCGGTTGGGTCGAATGCGGTGGAATCCTGTGTGGGGGAGTTCCCGCTGCCAAAGGACCAAAATACGAAGACGAAAAAAAAGGAGACGCTGCCGTCTGAACCAATCGACATAATCACTCACTTGTTCGAGAAATCTCTCACTCGGGTTTCCCTCGGGAAGTGCCCTGCCTCGTGCGGCTGATCTATATACACATCCATTTATCCCTTGCTTTATTTTTACACCCACTCTCCTAATCACTATATCCGATCTATCCGAAACTTTTAAAGGAGAAAGGAGAAAGCAGAATTCATGCTGTGAACAGAAAAAAAAATAATAAACAAAAAAGCACAGACAAACGCTACCATTTCAAAAAATCTCATGAAGTGCCTCCGCGACCGCCGACATTAGCCAACGCCTGCTTCTGATCGGCGCTGAGCTGAGCGACGGGCAACGGACGAGCGGTCGACGAAGCGGGCGGTGCGGGCAAGAATCCCACGGCCACGAGGTAGGAGACGTACAGGCCCACCAGCTCTTCCGTCACACCTGCACCTGCCGACGCATCGACACCCGACCAGGCGGCATCGGCACGCAGGGAAGCTGCCGCATACTTGTCGTCCAGTTCGGGGGCCTTGGTGTTGCTGGGAAGGTCCGATACCACGAAGTGGAACAAAGGCATGCTAAAAATCATAGGATTAACATTTGTGATCGATCGGAAGCCAAGATGAAGAAACTTACAGTGCATGCTGAGACTCCAGATCGTCATGTTCACCGCTGTTGACGTATTCCTCGAGCGACGTGGACCAGGGCACGTAGTCAACCTGGGGCACGTCGTAGCCGTACAGCTGCAGGGCACCGAGGAACTGGTTGAATCGAAGCCGGGGGTGACCGGTCACCTGGGCCACTCCGATCGGCTTGCAGGCAGGCTGGAAGGCACCAGCGATGACCACGCGCGCCACGTGGTCCACGGGAACCATGTTGACGGTGTTGTTGATGTTCGGGCGGGAAGAAAGCTGGATACAACCCTTGATCATTCGGATCAGGAAGTCATCCGTGTTCGTGGCTGTAGCAGATCATTTGTTAGCTATATATTGCTTTTGAATTTATTGACTTTTTTTCTTCTGTATTTTGCTTCTTCGTCTTGGAAATGGGGGTTGGAGTTGCATACTTCCGGTCTGGGAGTCACCCAGAACGTAACCAGGGCGCACCACGCTGCCCTTCAATCCTCTCCGACCGGCCTCGCGGACAAGGTACTCGCTCGCCCACTTGCTCTGGCCGTATCCGGTTCCCAGTCCGACGCTGCTGCCCGCCAAGTCGTCATCCTCGCTGATACCCGCTCCGCCGGCGGCGATACTCCGCTCGGATTCTTCAACGTAGTGATCGCTGTCCAGCACGCTGGTGGAGCTGACGAACGAAAACTGCTTGGGCTTACCAGTAGCGCAAAGCTTCAGGGCGTCGATGGTACCGAGGACGTTGGCCGGCTTGAGGGTGGAGTAGGGGTACACCCAGTGGACCAGAGCGCCGTTGTGAATCACAGCATCAACGCGCTTCGTCAGGTCGTCCCAGAGTGCCTCGGAGAGACCTAAGCGGGGTTCTCCCAGGTTACCACACACACACTGGAGGCGGCTGGTCCACGCCTCGTCCCAGAATCCGTAGGCACGACAGGTGGAACGAATGCGATCGAGCGCTTGCTGCTCG